CTGGGTGTGTGTTGGGGTGGGGGGGTTCAGGGCAGAGGGGTGGGGGGGCTGTGGGGGTGCAGGGCAGAGGGATGGGGTGGGGGGGTTCAGGGCAGAAGGCTGGGGTGCTCGGCTCATGGGGGTGCTCCCAGCCCCCTGCCATGAGCCGCTCAGGGCAGGGGGCTGGGAGGGATATGCCCTGTTCCAGCCCCTTCCCCCAGGCCCGTCCCTCCCTCTCTCTGCCGGCTCTAGGGAGCTGTGCGCAGGCGGCCGCTCTCCCCCCCCCTCGCAAGGGCCATGCGGGCAGGGAGAGGGAGGGGCAGGGGCGGAGGGGCCGGAACGCACCAAGCTGTGCGAAGAAGCGGGGGAGGAGGGAAACTGGGCTGCCGCAGGACCAAGCTTCTGCCTCCTGCCCCCACAGGGGAGAGCGGTAGGTGGGGGGGCTGAGTGGGGCGGGGGGGCCGGGACCCCCCCACCGCTCTCCCCTGCAGGGGCAGGAGGCAGAAGGTTGGTCCTGCCGCAGCCAAGCTTTCCCGCCCCCTTCCCCCAGCGTGGTGCATTCCGGCCCCTCCTCTCACCGGGCAGGCAGCGTGCCACTCAAAATCGGCTCATGTGCCGTGTTTGGCACACGTGCCGTAAGTTGCTGACCCCTGGGCTAGCCCCTGCCCCGAGTCCAAGCCCAGCCCACCCAGCCCCGTTGGGCTGAGCTCGGCTGGCTAACCTGTCCCCACGGCTATCTTTAACACACTAGTGCAAGTCTGCCAGCCAGGCTGGACGGCTCACTGGCAGCTGCAGTGTAGACACATCCGCCGCGACTGTGCAGCGCACACACGTGCAGGAAGAGCAGGGGGCTGCAGTCAGGACTCAGGTGACGCAGCATAGCGGTGAGTGTGGAGCAGGTGACCAGAGGTGTCGTGGTGTTTATGGGGCAGTCTGGAGATGGAAACAAACAAAAAGACAAATTTCTTCACACAGCGCACAGTCAGCCTGTGGAACTCCTTGCTAGAGGATGTTGTGAAGGCCAAGACTATAACAGGGTTCAAAAAGGAACTAGATAAGTTCATGGAGGATGGTTCCATCAGTGGTCTATTAGCCAGGATGGGCAGGGATGATGTACCTAGCCTCTGTTTGCCAGAAGCTGCGAATGGGCGACAGGGGATGGATCACTTGATGATTCCCTGTTCTGTTCATTCCCTCTGGGGCACCTGGCATTGGCCACTGTCGGAAGACAGGATACTGGGCTAGATGGACCATTGGTCTGACCCAATATGGCCGTTCTTATGTTCTGCGAAGGAGAGCTGAGATCTAGATTCTAGTTGAAAGCTGTGTGTTATTAGTCCCTCCTTTTCAGAGCACAACACTTACTCACCTCAAGAGAACTCCCCACCCCATTTTTGGCTCCTATTGTTGTATGTAAAGTAAACAAGGTTTTCAAAATGTTTAAGAAGCTTCTTTTAAAATTAAATTAAAATGCTGATCTTACGCCGCCAGCCTGCTCACCCCGCTCCCCTCTAAAAAGGATGTCTCAGGATCTGTGGGGTTATCTATCTGGTTCCACTGCTAATCCCACTTCCAAAAGCACTCAGGGGTGACAATGCACCGCAAACACGCCTTACAAAGAATCTCCACCAGCATGAACATAACCAGGCGCCACCGGGAAGAACACTGGATGCCATGAGATCAATTCTGGGATTTATTTCGGTTGCTGGGTTACAAAAGACGCTTGAAATAACAAAAGCAGAAGCAAGTTTTCAAAGCAGCATAAAAGAGCTATTAGTATCCAGCAAAGCCCGTATTAAACCCTCAATGTACAGCTTAAACTGACAACAAAAGCCTCAATCGCAATGAAAATAAACCCTGATCACAAGCAAGGCAGTGCTTAGGACTTGACTAGCTGCTGGCCAGGTTCAAGGTTTGGGCACGAGGCCAAGTCAGTACTGACATCACTGGTCTCCAATCTGAACAGTGGACAGCAGGGGGCGCTAGCTGCTTTCATGGGACAAAAACTCCTCCACTCATCTCTTGTCGCAAAGCTATTGGCCGTGTCTGAACTAGAAAACAGGCCTTTCTGGTTTGGGGGCCGAGCCAAACCAAACCCAGAGCGGGGAGTTTGAATGCCAGAGGTGGACGCTTAACCCTACAAAATATTCACAGGATTTCAGATGAGTGGTTCAGTATTATTAATAACGGAATCAGCTGTAGATGCAGGAGGCACTTGGGAAGTCACCCGTCCCCTCTAAACCCTGTATCCTAGATTGAAATGTTCAGCCGCTTCCTAGCCAGGGAATTTCCCCCCCATTCTATTTTTCTGTAGTTTACATTATTTGCTAAATAGACGACGACGCTCGGTTTACTGCTCCCTACAACTTTGAGACTTTGATTTGGCCTCCTCATTTCCTAGGAAACGTCGGTGTCTTGCATCACAACACATGCAGGAGAACTGCCCCAAATCAGAGCGTGATGCTACAATCCCTTGCTGAGACGCTTGCATTCCGACGCCAGTGCAAAGAAAGGCAGTTATCCGGCTTGATGTGGCTAGCTGAGCCCCGGCTACCCCACCTTTCCCAGTGACTAGCTTGAAAACCAAAACCCAGAGGCAAAACCCAGCTTATCAGGTGTGTGATACTGGCAGGGCCCACACCGACACACAAGCAGCAAGCAGGAAGTTGGAGGCTGAAATCTTCCAAGGGCAAACTCAGAGTTTTGAAATCTTCTGCAGCAAAGAATTGTCGTGAACATCCTCCAGCCACTTGATGAGGATCTTATTCAGAGCAGCTGGCCTGAAAAAAAAACAAAACAAAACAACAACACACTGCATTAAGCTCGGACTGCTCCTTACTGGGCTTTCTCCGGCCCAGCTTTCCCGGCCCAAGGAATTAGGCTTCCATCCATGTCCTAGGGAGACTGCTCACAGCCTGTGCTGCTTTGCTGTTTGGAAATGTTATTTCCCATGAAAAGTTTAGAAGAAAATGATACATTTTATTATTAACTGGCGGTAACGAGGTGGCATTAACGTGGGGAAAATGCAGGCTGCCAATTAGAAGAAGCTGAGAATTTGACCCAAAAACGCCTTTTTGACTAAATAGAATGTTAATTATTTTATTGTTCTAATTTTTCAATCAAAACATTGTCCCAAGTCCCATGCCCTATGAAGTCAATTACATCAAACACTCCCACTTGTATCAACCAAACTTGTAATCTCGTCAAAAAATGAGTTGGACAAAATCTATTCTCCATAAATCCATGTTTACTGGCATGAATTATTACCCTCCTTTAATTCTTTGTTATTAGAGTCCTGTATCAGTCACTCCACTGTTTTGCCCAGGATCGATGTCAGGCTGACAAGTCTGAGACTCCCTAGCTCATCCCGTTAACACTTTTTAAATACCCGGGGAGTTATGACAACTTGTTAAAAAAAATCAACACTAATGGCCCAGACTGTAGGGACTCAGGCTAGAACCTAGAACTGCCGGGCTCTGGGTAACTGAAGCATCTATGCCCCCACATGGCAGCTGCAATCAATGCACTATAAACCCTGGGAGACTAAGGACCACAGGAAGTGCCACCCACAGATGACCTGATTGGTAGCATCTCTCAACGACTTCTGATTGGTTCAGGTGCACTATTTAAGCATAGAGGGAGTTCCAGGAAGCTGTCTGTGCAAGTTGGTGGTACCCAGTCTTCTGCTACAACATAGTCCTCTCTTATTCCCTGCATTGGACCTGGCTCTAAACCTTGGCTTGATTCCTGATCCCCACCACCAGCTACAATCTCCAGCTAGACTCCTGATCCCTGACTCTGGTTCCAATCTTCAACTTGACTCTTGGTTTCTGATGCCAGCTCTGACCCCTGACTCCTGTTCCAACTATTAGGCCCTACTTCTGCTCCGACCACTAGCCCTGACCCCTGGTTCTACCCGCTAGGTAGGCCACCCATATCCCAGTTGTGACACCAGATCACTCCTTGGCCAGCTCTTCTAAAACTCTTGGACGCAAGTTATCTGGAGCTGCTAATTTAAAATGTTTAATATTAGAGGCTGCTGTTTAACATCCTCCTGAGTTACTGCTGGCCTGGAAAGTATTTCCTCAGCCTGTGATATGAATCCATCAGCTGGCTTTTTCCCAGTAGAGAAACACAGGTCAGCATTAACTCACTGACCTTTGTTCCCACACATCCAAGTGGGAATGTTCCTGGGAGGTGGTCTGCATCAATCCACCAACAAATCCATAGCACGCCAATGGATCAGCCCACACAACCCTGCTAGACAGCTTCAAAGGGGAAGACCTACTTGTCAGCGCCTACTGTCGCCTTCTTGGTATGAGCCAATCTCGTTTGGTTCCTATCCACGCAGATACTTGATATTTTATCCAAGGGTGGGAAATGGATGCATGCATTGAGAGACACAAGGGTGGTGGGCTCGGCTCTGGCGATGCCTGGCAATGGGGCACAGTGACCTCAGCCGGTATGTGGGGGGAAGCTTGGGCAGTGATTTTTCTTCAAGGAGAAGAAAGGCCAATAAGATGGTCACAGCCCCTGTCAAAAATAGGTCAGTGAACTGGGTGTTGAAGGCTCCTTTAGCTCCTAGGTTCTGACCACCCCCTTTTGGGGACACCCAGGATTCACACAAAGAGAAGCAGAACATTTGCCTGAATGGGTTGGTGCCCAGATACCATGGTGAGAGGTGCTGCAGAAATACCCAAGACAGATCAAATCAGCCCACTTGGTCCAGAGGAAAGCAACACGTTCCAGTGTGGGTGATTCCCTTCTGCCTCCCTGAAATTCCCCTTGGATACGGGATTCTTCATTTCCCACCCTACAATGCTGCCTGGTATAGCAGCGCTGCTAAGCAGCTACACCATCCCACTCCACCCCAGGGGGGCCTGATCAACAGAGGATGGCAAAGAAGGTGCCAGTGAGGGTTGATGAGCTAGTGTTGTAAAGCACACGGAGGTCTTTGGGAGAAAGGTGCCAAGTTCAGTAGCAGGATTGAGAAAGAAGGTGTCTAATTAATTATCTGCTACATCCACAATTCAATGAGCAGCCCCTTTTTTTCCCCCCTGGGGACATGAATGAAGTTGAAACCAGCAGAAGCCACTAAACTGCAAACAGGTGGTGAGTTTGCAACATGAGGAACATGAGAGAAAGAGACAAAATAAATCAGATGTAGTCACATTAAACAGCCATGGAACCATTTAAGTTTTGAAAACATCCATTCTGAGTTATTCGACCACTGAGGAAGAAGCGAGTTTTCACCCAAGGAGATGGTGCAGATGCTGGTTGGCCAGTGAATGACTCAAACCCAGCTTTGTTTCAGAAGTTCATCAGGATCGGGGTGTCATCCTGAACGAGGAACACAAACTTTGTCTTATCTGAGGAAACCTGGTTTTGCAATCAACCTGAACACTTGAAAAAAATCACGTTCCAGTGCAGCGCTTGGGCTTTGGTGAACTATACGAGCATACCGAGGGGTGATACTCCACATGGGTGCATGAGAGCATGTAGAACTGAAATCCATTGGTCTGAGCATAGGAGAAGGAGCCAGGAAACCTTGAGTTCTAACATGACTAGACCTCTGCCAGTGACCTGTGTGGGGCTCGACGCAAGCCAATTAATCTCTTTGCTTCCGCTGCCTTCTCTGTGGAATGAAGATGATAATGTCTATCACCCGGGGTGTTGGGAGCAGAGACTAATTAGTCTTTGAAAGAGAAAAACGCTGGGTGATGCTGTAACTCTTTAGCGATGCTCCATCACATAATACTTATGGGCCCAATTCTCTCCTGTATCCCAGCGGAACTGCCTTGACTTGAATGGAGTTACCCCAGCTTTCCACCAAACAGGGCTGAGAAGACAAATCAGGCCCAGTGAGACCAGCTGAGAAAATCAGATGGGATCCAAACGCTCCCAAAATGTAGGGAGTGTTTAGATCCCCTGGCACAATAATTCAAACCGCCGGGAGGGAGAGGGAAAGGGAAACGGAGGAAGCTCTTCAAGCCGTTCCAACAGCCATGCAGGCAACTTACAAACCCTCTGCTGGTTCTTTTCAAGGTGATCTCTGCTTAACATCCTTCCCCTGCACCATCAGTGCTCTCTGGGCCCGGCAATGGGAGGCGCTCCATTCGGCTTTGGATCAGGCCCTCTAACCTCACATACAAATGATTACGCTGTTTAATACAAAATGCTACAGTCTAGTTCTGGCTGAGGAGCCGTTTCCATTACAAACCCGCTCCGCAGGCAGCCGGGGCCCGCCGAGAGATGCGAGTCTGTTCTGTTACTTTCTCTCAGCACCCGTAACATTATTCAGCACTGATCTCTCTCCAGCCTTTGGAGTGTAATGACTCCGTCCTTTACCGCACTTGGCACTCTTAACACTGGCATTCAGACCTGTAAAGCCAGGAGAATATTCCGCCTTGCAATGTAGTTGACGAGATTTTATATATCTTGTAAACCAGCAGAAATCGAGTCTGATTCAAGCAGCGCTGCAGAGAGATTCATCCATCAGCCGTTAGCATTGATCATATGACACATGCACTTTGCAGAGATCCAATTGCTCCTGCTGACTTAACTGCCTTTCAGTCTAGCTGCTGTTTTACATCTTCTCTGACATCCAGGCAGACCCGTGAGTGAATTCCAGGAGTCATGGACGAGCCGTCAGTGGGGGGTTATTTCCCAAGAAGCCTCTCTGGAGATGACGAAGTGCTCGCTCTCCCTCTCTCTCTCTCAGGTGCAGAGGAGGTTTGGGGGCATGAAGAAGGGGTATGTGGGTAATTTGGGAGGATGGATCCATTCTGTGGGGCTGAACTACAGGAGCGAAATAGAACGGAGACTTGCAGAGACCTGGGGGGGGGTTTCACCCCCTGGCTGATGGGCAGGTGTAAAGGAATCTCAGCTGTGTCGTTTCCTTTCCAATGAGATGAAGAAGGTTTAATTTAAAGAAAGGGCGGAGCTTTCTTTCATTATCCCTCCCCCCACCCCACTGTGGGTCTCTATGTGCTTGGGCCAGGCCCTTTCAAATACCTGCACTGTCCTGCTAGACGTCAGCGACAGCTCAGGGGAAGAAAGAACTCGCTGCTCTTGTGGAAGGGGAAGGGAGAGGTGGCGATAAGGTTGGCACTTCTTACAGTTCAGCTCAACTCTGCCTGTGTGACCTTGGGCAAGTCACTTAGCCTCACTGTGCCTCGGTTTCCCCATCTGTAAAATGGAGATACTAGTGACGCCCTCCCTCCCAGGGGTGTGTGAAGATAAACATGTGTGTGACAGAGTGAAGTGTCACATGGGGGGAGGGAGAGAAGAAAAAAAGCAGCTGACTCAAATTATCCAGACCTCTCAGAGACTGCTGGAAGGGTGTGTGTGTGTGTGTATATATATCAGGGTGGGGGGTGTCTGGGCCTACATAAATCAGACCCAGTCCCTTGCAGGGGGGGAGAAGGATGCGGCTGGATGAGGAAGGATGCACTCTGAAGCAGAGCCTAGGGGAAAAGAGGGCCAGAAACGGGCAGGGGCAGAAGAAAAGACCAGCACCTGCTGGGGAAAATGTACTGGGTTTGGGGCGCAGGCTAGGACCTGCCTCCCCTGGAAACTGAGGCCTTGCGATAGAGGGAAGAGAACTAGAGACCCTGGGTGTAGATGAGGATACATTAAATAGTGAAAGGTTGTGACACAGCCCTTTTGATAAGCATTAGTACTTCAGTGACTGTCTGAACTCCCTGGGGCCGGAGAGCATTCACCACTTCACAATGCTCGCGACTGGGGTGCTCAGACACTCCGGCAAAAGAGGCCCTATAAGGACCATAGAATGTATAGGTTGAACTTTGACTAACTTTGCCTTTTCCTAACTACCCCCCATGACTCTGGTTCAGGCCCGCTTGCCTCACCATCCACAGTTCCCTTCCCCCTCCGGTGCCCTGGAGATGCTGCCGGTAATGGCCTCTCAGCCGCGCACACTTAGCTGTTCTCCTCTGTTCTCGTGAGACGATCCCTCCCGGCCCAGCTCATCTTCGGCTCCTTTTCTCTGCTAATTGCTTGTGTTAAATAATGGCCAGCGGATGACATGGGCTAAGCGAATGAGGCTGGTTTAACAGAGCTCGCACCCCCCAATGGGCTGGATCGCCCGGTTCTGTACACCATTGCCAGCTGCCGGAGGACAAGCAGTAATGCGGGGATGCTCGGACGGCACACGAGCTGCCGGGGATCCCGGGGATCTCCCCGTGCGGCACGACTGGGGCTGTAATGAACTCTCTCGTTAGCTGGTGGCGGGACATGCGTTTGGGGTCGTATCCCAGCAGTCCCCATGCAGACCGAATCTCCACTGACCCCACTGGGGGATTTTGCCTGAGCAAGCACTGCAGCAGCTGGCTGGGAGGGGGTGGCCCAGGGGGTCTCAAACTGGGGGTCGGGACCCCTTAGGGGGTCGTGAGGTTATTACATGGGGGGTCGCGAGCTGTCAGCCTCCACCCCAAACCCCGCTTTGCCTCCAGCATTTATAATGGTGCTAAATATATAAAAAAATGGTTTTAATTTATAAAGGGGGGGGTCGCACTCAGAGTCTTGCTGTGTGAAAGGGGGCACCAGTACAAACGTTTGAGAGCCACTGGGGTAGCCCCTCCGAATTCTTGGGCTGGGCTATGGGATGAAGACGAATCAGGAGCCGCGTCGTGGCCCCGGGCGGTAATGCTGCCATCCAGGTAGGCTGGGTTATGCGTATATGTATTGGCCTAATTCAGGGAGGTGCTGAGCCACCCTGGCTCCCTCTGAAGTCAATGGGAGCTGGGGGCGCTCGGCCCACTGAAAATCAGAGTCAAATGTGCAGTGATCTGCCATGAGCCATTTGGTCTGGTCCCTCCAGCACAGGCCAGTACTGGAGGCTTCAGAGGAAGTGTTAAAAGTCACTAAGCCATTTAGACAGGTTTCAGAGTAGCAGCCGTGTTAGTCTGTATCCGCAAAAAGAACAGGAGTACTTGTGGCACCTTAGAGACTAACACATTTATTTGAGCATAAGCTCTAAGGTGCCACAAGTACGCCTGTTCTTTAAGCCATTTAGCTAATTGCACAAGGCTTCAGCATCGGGCGGGGGCTGTGGGGGAGATAATCCGTGGTGATCCCTGTGGGCAAATCAGTTCCCGGCCCAGGCACAAGAGCTGACTGCCCGTACCAGCTTGGCTTGCAGTGCTGACCCAGCCGAGCCTTTAGCAAACGCCGGCCGCGGCGCCCCACTCCCTCGCCGCGCACATTTCGACTTGCTAAAAGCTCACTCCGTGCGGCCAGGGCGCCGGAGCAAGAGCTGGCTGCCAAGCAGCGCTGACAGTCAGGCCCCCAGCGGCTGACGACGACAGGGCTCTAAACGCCCCCGCGGTGCATGCGGTACCTTTCCATCTGCGTCCAGTGTCCGCACTCTTCAATGTGGCCCCAGGTCAGCTGGGGAATCTGGAGAGAGATGCACAAGAACAGTGAGACCCTGTTTCACTCCAAAGACGCTGCCGGGCCTCTCAAAGGTACAGAGGCTTTTAGAAAAGGTGGCTGCTTAGGACCTGCCATATGGGATCAGCCCCATCGAGCCTGGCACCATGAACCCAGCGCTGGACAATTCCTGACGCTTGAGAGGAAGGACAATTCCCCGGCCCGGGCATGTGGTGCTATACCTGGCTAGAAGAGCATTTCGCCCTGACCCCTGCACGTGGCCTGAAGCATGAGGTTTGATCGCCCTTCTCGGCAGGCACAGCTGGTGGGATTTATGTAGCTCGTTAGTCAAGGCGGCTGGTCCGAGACCCTCCTGCTACTGGGAACTCCCCACAGTTGCTTCACATGTGCAGCACGAGCCACTTACGAGGGATGCATTCAGTTGGGATGGAGTCCGAGGGAACCAACGTCAGCCCAATGACACTGGATATCCCTGGCCGCCGGGTAACCGGGACGCCATGGGGTGGATAATGCTGATCACTTACCCACTCCTCCATGCCTTTACTCAGATTAGGATGGAGAACAAAGTCCTTCCCGGCAGTAACCATCAAAGCCGGGACCAGGATCTGCAGGGGGATAAAGACAGGGCTAGGAAATGAGACGCCCCCAGATCAAATCCGCTCTGTAAACAGTCTCCTTGCCCAGTGGGGTAGTGATCACTAGCCGTTCCCATCGGTGCGGAGTGGAGCAGACTCACGTAGAATCCATGGGAGCGGGGTGGGCGGGGGCTGCGTAGACACCCCCACCAGGTGATGATGCGCTGCCCAAAGGCCACGCACAACAGTGCACATGACACCCCTGCAGACAGGGAGCCTCACGGCTTGTTGCAATTGCTCCTTGGCAGATAACCACACTTGAATTTCAACCCATTTATCCAGTGTATGGAGAGCATGGGCAGCGCGAGATCCCCCCTTCGGGGAGGCTAGTCCCATAGCCCCACCCCTTCTGCCCAAGGCCACGCCTCCCGCCTACCAGAGCCCCAACCGCCCCCACCCCTGCAGATGGAGGAGCCCCAGCCCACCCACCCCGACCCCTGGGCCAGACCGAGCCCCGGCCTCACCCCAGCCCCGGCCCGACCCCCAGGCCACAGGCTGGTCGAAGCTCCGAGCTCTGGGCTGCCAGCTGGAGCTGAGCCCTCACTGGCTTCAGGGGAGAGGGGAAGCGTGGGTGGGGCCACAGCCTGGGCTAGGGGAGGCTTAGCCTCCCCTGACCTTCGATACCCACCGCCCACGATGGAGAGCTACAGGCTGAACCCCCAACGTTTTGCGACCTCGGCAGGCGTTTCTGCTCTTCTGTGCGGGAAATCACTCGGGGACGCTCGCCCATCCGGAGGTACAAGGGCACTAGAGAGGAGCCCTTTCGACCTGCCCCAGTTAGGACAATTTATGCCTGTCCGAGGACTGTGGCCGTCCCAGCCAGAGCACCAGCGAACAGACTGTAGAGAGCAATTCTGCACTGGCCCCAAACGATCATTCCTAGATCTGAGCCCAGGCTGACCAACCAGTCTGACCTCCTGCGTCAACCAGCCCCGAGAAAACAGCTGGATGGATGGAGTAGATGGGATCTAATGAGCCTTCTCTGTCCCTCTTCTCTGAATTCCCCAGGGTAGCCGCTGACCCAAAGAGAGCAGGGCGGGGACAGTGCAAGCGAGACCAGAGCCCCAGAGGGACGTGCCCTGGGGGCGAGAGAGAGCGGCTGCAACGTGACCGCTGTCTAATATCAATCACGGCCCAGTCAATCAATCCCCCAGCCCAGCTGCAGCGGAGGAAGTGCCCTAGGCTGGAGGCCACCCACTGGCCCAAGAGTTCTCGTTTATATTCGCCGAGACTGAAAGTGAAGCGAGGTCACAGAGCCAACGCACGTCTGAGCATCGCATTGATTGCTCCAGCCACTTGCTTAACCGCTCAATGCCCTTTGGGGGGCGGTGCTGCCCTCTTGCGAAGGCAGCATGGTTCAGTGGTTAGAGCACAGAACTGCTGTCCAGCCCACTGGCCCGCAGTGTGACCTTGGTCATGCCACCTCACTTCTCCATGCCTCAGTTTCCCCAGCTCTGTAATGCAGTTTGAGATCTCCGGAGGCAGAGAACAGCGTGAATGCCAATTCCTGTTCTTCCGAGCACAGCCGCACTGACCCCGCGTTCCGGCATGGAGAATAAGGACAAGCAAGAAGGGGCAAGACAACACCAGGTACCATGGCAGGGCAGTTTGGCAACCGCTGAAAGCGAGTTGTGGGACTGTGTTCAAATCCTGCTGGGGTGGGCAGGCAGACTCTTAAAGGGATTTAGGTACCTAGAGCAGGCTGCACAATACCCGTACAAATCTGGCCCTAAGTCCGGAACCTTCCAAAGGTGCCGTTCTACCACGGAAGACAGAGCTGAGGTAGACCTATTAGATCACCCCGCCCCGCCCATGGCTAGCGGAGGGTGGTTGACTCCGGGTGACAGGGATTTCAGCCCTCCACAGCCCCATACTCCTGCCCTCCAGAAACTTTTCCTCTCTTGCGTGGAAAGGAGGCCCTGGGGGAATAGGCACAATGTTACTACAGGCTGAGACGGGACCAGTTGCCAGTTCACTCCGTGGGATGTACTGAGTGGGTGTGTGTCAATCCCAACTGCGGGACAACCCACAGCCCCACAGGGTCCCCAGGCCAGGCTCCCACATGGGGGTACCACGAAGGACACCCTGCCCTTCGCCAACACGTTGCCTCTGGCAGAGAACAGACATTCCAGATGCCGGATCACGACGCGCCCGCGAGCCTAGGGGAGGACAGACAGATGAGCCTAGCGCCTGTTCCCAAGCGACTGTTCATTCTGCTCCAGGGAACGAAGGCACCGCGGGCTGCTCTCGGCACGTTCCCTCATCTGCGAGCGGCCCAGGGTTCGGGCTGGAGAACGCTAACCTAGCTCCTGCCCCTGCTCTGAGATCCGAGCCCAGAGACAGCTGCCGAGTGACAGGAGCCGCTCTCACCTTCCTGTCTTTTGCAGACAGGCGCCACAGCCAGTTGGCTCGCATGTTCCGGTACCAGTTCAATGGTGTCCTAAGGGCGAGACAGAGAGAAAGGGGGGAGGGGCTTAAATCGTCACTGGATCCCCGAGAAGTTCTCGGGTGCTGCATTCCTTGGGGAGGTGCAGCTGAACCAGGGGCCGAGATTTTGGCTGAGTTGGTATTTCCTTGCGATCCCAGGGCAGACCCCCCCCGCCCTCTTAGCTTGGCTTTCTATGGCTCATCTTAGGCTCCACATGGGCACCAGCACCGCACGCCTGCCGCCAAGCCGTGGGGAGATTCTCAAGAGCCCCATGCCGGGGGAGGGGGGGGGGGGATTTGTTTGCAAATGAAACAGCCAAAGGCCTTGTAACAACGTCTCTGGGAATATCCCAGGCAGAGCCGACGTTACCTCCAGCACCAGACTCTTGCTTCGTTCTTTAGCTTTGCTTTTACCTGAAGCCAGACTTTTTAAACTGCCGGATGAAGTACTGGAGATCCGCTCCCGCTAGGATCTGGCTTGGAGGTGGGTCTTCTGGCATGCCAACCAGAAGCCCTCCTGCCGAGAGAGAGAGGGTGAGAACATCTGATAGGCAACATCGTGGGCAGGATCAGCTGCAAATGACCCCGAGTCTGTGGCCCCAACAAAGGACTAAGGGCTTGCAAAGGGCCTCTGCAGACTCCCTGCACCCACCCTCTCTCCCCGTGCTCAGTTTTAAAGCCGGGTGCTGCTCTGTGAATGGGATTCAGGCTGAGATGGGGGAGCCCGGTGGTGACGGGTGGATGGCGTGTGAGTTTCATGCCGGCCCAGGAGTTCAGGCTATGGGAGCGGTCTCCTCTCCAGAGGCGCTGGGCAGCGGCAGCTCCCACTGAGGGTGCTCAGTGCCCGTGATGGCAACACTGGTTATTTAGGCACTTAAATGTGGATTTAGGTGCCTCGACTTTATGCACCAGGGCTTGTGATGTTCAGCCCAACGGTTACAGGGGCAGTGGGACAGAGGCCCAATGGTGCCGGCTGGCAAAGGGTTCCCTGGGCTGTGACAGCAGCGCCTAACAGGCCTGACAAACTCACTCCACCCACCACCTCGCTTTCATAGAACGTATCCGTACCCGGGGTCACATGCAGCCCGGGCGTGTCTAGACGAGAACACGGCACTGGTAGAACTCACAGTGTGACGTTAAACCAATACACTGAAACTGGTCCAGCTAAACCCAGATCAGCTGTTCACACTGAAATCCACACAGACGTTCGCTCTAGGCTGGTTTCAAAGCCAACTTCAAGTCCTACCAGGGCATCTTTCTCCTTTGGACCGGCCCTCAGTGCCCGGAGTAGAACCCCTGTGCATAGGCCGCCCCTCCAGCTCTCCTGGAGGTTTTTGCAGGGTGCGCGCCTCCAGCTGGAGCTGCGCAACGAATGCTTATCGCTGCTGCTATTGACAGCGCCTTTCTGCAGCGTGCATCGCTGGGTGATTTGATTAGAACGCGCTGCGTAAGTGGATTTGCAAGAAAGGGAAGACACCCAAGGAGGGAGACAGGAGTTTCAGGGGCTCTGGTTAACATGCAGCCGCTCCACGCCATCCCACTGGCCGAGGCGTCCCTCCTGCTGCCCAGCGTCTAATGAAAGGGACAGCATCAAGGGTGTTTCTCAGAATGCCTCCTATTTCACTGCACCCACCCTCGCCTAGTGCATGATCTACCCAGAGGAGCTTGCAAAGAAAAGCGATTTCTTTCTTAATAGCAGCCTCTCTCCTCCCTGCAAGCACACGGACCAGTTTATTATGGCAGGGTCTCTCCCAAGCCTTGGGCTGCACACGCAGGGGTGTTATTGTAGGGTTGCACTATTATGGGACAATTCAATGCTTCTTTCTATCCATCCCTTTTACACCCTTTCTCTCTCCTCCATCTCCTTCTGTCGTGGCCCGGGACTTCCTTTCGTCCAATGAACAACCCTACAATAACATACCTGCGTGCGCAGCCCAACCCTCGCGAGCAACCCGATCCTTTGTTATTGTAGGGTTGCTTGTGAAGTCGGGTCTGTTCACATTTGGAGAGCGACAAATCCCTTTCCACCTGGGCCATTTCGCACCCTTACCTCGCTCCCGGACGCTGGTGGCGTTGAGTGGAACAGGCAGCTGGTCCTGCAAGGGAAGCAGCTCTCATTAACGGGACGTGATTAACTCCCAGGGCAGCCGGCCAGAGGGGAACTCAGAGAAAAGCCATGGGAGCAGTCACGTGGCACCGGGGACTGACGTAGGGGGTTGGATTAAAAAAGCGACGCACATCTAGCTTGGCTGAGCAGTCATCAAGGTGCGAGGGTCAGGGGAGGGAGAAGGGGGGGCACGAGAACAGGACCATAAATAGTTGAAGTGACCCAAGAGGCTACAGAGCAATGGGGTGAAATTCACGACAGTTGGGAAAAGCTCCGGGGACGGCGAGACGGATCTGCCTGTGGAATAGTCTCTCCGGGGAGGGGTGGGCGCTGCAGTGCTGGTATGCTCCATACTGGCCCTAGGGAACGTGGTGTAGGAACAATCCTGCCTCAGGACTCTGACCCCACATCTCTGGCTCCTGCAGTTCTACGGGCCAGACTGTGACTCATAGGTGAGCACGGGAGGCATGCTGGGAGTGGGCGGGGCCACGGGGAGGATGCAGGACTGCTCCGCCCCCCCGGCAGGCTGACATTAAATATGGGGCTCTGTCCAGCTTGTCTTGACATTTACTAGGGCAGAAAAATCCCAACAGCTCTTTTTCCAACTCTTTTCCCCAGCGAAGGCACGATTCGATTCCATGACACATTCCACGCAGAGGCCAGGGTATGCAGCCTTGCTCCTCGTTAAAGCCGTTGGCTCCATCTCCTACCAGGACATGGACAGGAAGCTAACGAGCCTGGAAACGACTGTTATTGGTTAACTACCCAGCCGTTCGGGGAACGGCTCCACCGGGCCGACTCGGCGTTGCGGGGTGGCTGCAGGGAAGGGGCAGGCCCGGCTGTGGAATGGTTCCCCAAAGCTCCATACGAAGCCGCTTTTGTGGCCCACAGCAGCACTGGGCCTCCTCTGTGCTCTGCTACCGAGCGCAGCCCCCAGAGCGCCCAGGGAAGGGGCTTGTTGGGGCCTTCCAAAGCCAGGAGCCGACAGACCAAAGCAGCGCAGGATTTGCACCGAGCACACGGGGGCTGGTGCTCTATGTAATGAGGCTGCTTGGATTTTAGGACCTGGCCCAGTCCTATCCAGACCATGCCCAGTCCTGCCCAGGGCTTCGCTCGCTCGCCTGGCTCGGAGCAGACACTGCAGAGAGCTCTAACCCAGCCAGCCCCAAGCAGCGTGAGACGCTGTGTCTGGGGCGAAGGAGGATCCCAGTCACTCGCGAGCAGGCCCCGAACGTCCCACGCTGCTGCTGGAGCACTCGCTGTCCGCGGAGACAGCAAACACTCATTACTTGACGCCTGATGCCCCAGGGGCATGCAAGAGAGTTGGTTCAATTCCCAGGCTGATCTCACTCCCTGGACTCTCCCGGGACGGGACTAGTACTCCATTGGCTCTGCAAAGGCCTGGAAGCCAAGCCAAAGAACTGCAGCGACGGGCCAGACGTCCCTGCTTCCAGCATGTGCCTCCCCCTCGCCCCCCCCCCCGGATTTACGCTGGATATTAGGTCACTATCATTATTCCTGCGTTACTGATGGCAAAGGGCAAACTGCAGTCAGGTAACTCGCCCCAGGCTACACAGTGAGTTGCAGCTGAGCCAGGATTTAAAAAAAAGCCTTAACTATGAATCTTCTGCCTTCCAGACTTGGAGTTTGTTTAAATTACAAAGCTCTCTTAAGGGTTTTTGCCCTGAAGCTGCTGATAAATATTTACTGCCTCTGTTCTAGGTTAATGACGCTATTTGTATTGTGCTCTGAGATAAAGAGACTCAATGTAACCCCTGGAGAGTGTTCAGGTTGTGCCATATGCTCAAGGCCCTGCGCCCTCCACCGAGTCCACCCCAGCCACAAAACAGCCTGGGGCAGAATTGGAGCGAGTTTCCTTAAAGGACATCCCAAGCCCTTACTAGTGAGAACACGGTCCTCCGAATGTGAAATGGATGTAAGGCAGTGCCCTGGTTGAATCTGGAGACAGCCCAAATTATTGTCTCCAAGAAAGGTGTGAATTAACACCCTGTTCCTCTCACCAGAGCACGTTAACTCTGAAACCTACCGATGATCTAAATACCAACATTCTTCTCCAAACATCCAGCGGGCCCATCACCGTTGGGTGGAGTGGCAGATAGCGGGGTCGGGGGTTGCAACAGTTGGCAAAACTTCCAGCTGAGTCTTGATGCCAAACCCTTCCCCCCGGAATTTCCAGTCAGGCCTCCCCAGGTGAGAGAGATGGGAGCAGAGAGTTAATCCAGGCTGGGGCTGGATCATCAGCCTCTGCTTCTCCTCCTTCAGACCCCAGCTATGGGATAAAGATCACACAAAGCCCCGCCCTACCCAGCCGCATGCCCCGCCCCTACCTCCTTCCTGATGGATCGGATCATGATCCTAAACGTCCTGCTCAGGTCCTTCTCCAGCTCGAGCTCAGCAACACCCTGAAAGAGAAACAGCAGCAGCCCCTTTCAACAGCTCTCTCCAAAGAGGACCCAGAGTGCTGGCGGGCGGCTTGGCGGGAAGAGGCTGCGGGGTAACACGGCACCGGTTTCCCGGGAATGGGGCGTTCCGTTCGTTATCAGCACAGCTAAGATGGTGACATTTCAAAAGGCAATAAAACGCTACGTTAGGAGAACCCGGATCTCCCATGTCAGGGGGCTGGAGAGCTCAGGGCCTTTTATCTCTAGTCCCCCAGCTGGAACCCAGCCCAGACAGCTGTTCAGTGACCTATGTGAAATGGGTACATGGCACAGCGCAGCACAACAGTCCACAGTGTCGCTGGTCCAGGGACCTCCACCGCTCCCTACAAACGGTCTCACTCCCTCCTCCCCCCAGCAAAATAGGTGACGCCCACTTCACAGGGACTTCTCCTGAGAACGAATGGGGAGAGAAGTGAAGTCCCGCGGCAAATCAGAGGTCAAGTAGGAAACAGCACCCAGGAGTCCTGGCTCCGAGTCCTCTGCTTGGCCCACTGGAGGAGATCAGCGAGAATGCCAGCAACAGTGCCAGACATGACAGCAGTTTTGTAACATACACACCCAGCCGCTGGGGACTAGACTGAGACCCCCACCCCCCCGCCCCAACTCATTTAACGTGGGGGCTACCAAGCAGACGTCAGATGTGAAAACTTCTGGTGACCATCCAGGTGAGTTGCAACCCAGCTGGTGACCTAAAGAGTGAAAGGCTCCAATAACACATTGGCAATCCCCTTCCTGCCACCAACACAGGTGGGCTGTGAACTGGCACCCTAAAGGTATGAGGCTCTGTGACATTTAAAGACACTTTATCCTAAGACCGTGCAGAAGCCAGTCAATAGTCCTGGTCACCGGCTTTCTGGGCTGGCTATTTGCTGACGAGCCCGAGCTGTCGGCCGGAACGAACTGAATGGCCCTGTTTGCATTTCAGTTCTGCTTTCACTCACTCCAGCTGTCAATTAAAATGAAGCACCTATGAAAAGAAGAATTCATTTGGGGAAAAGCCAAATGCTCTTAGAAGAAGAGAGAAGGGGGAAGATTAATCAGCTTTGGGGCTGGGTGATTTTTTTTGCAGGTTCCCCACAGCTCCACCAGGGCTGATAATGCATCGGTCTGGCAGGTGTCTTGTCTACCAAGTCCAGTTTGGAGAGTCACATGTGCAGTGGCTTCATATGGACTGAGAACAGGGGAGGAGAGGGTTAAACGCACTCAGGGGTTTGGTTCTGTCCTGCCCTGCAGGGACAAGCTGTGATGGGGGGAGGAGGAGACTGCAGTTGTGACAACCCCAGAAAAAGAGGAAAATGTTGCTTTTCATACAACCCCCCCCCCCATTTTAAAGCCTCCCAGAGAGAGGGGAAAAGAGAGAAAGCTGCATGCGCAGGCCACACCCCACATTTCTCACCATATTTCGCAGAGCCGAGAGGCAGAGGCACCGGAACATGGGGGCCAAGGGGCCATGGCCCTCCCACTTTTGAAAGTGTATAGGTGTGGCCCCCGTCCACTTTTCGCCAGCGGCCCGGCCCTCTGCCCCTCCTCCTCCCCCTGAGGCCCTGCCCACCGGCCAGGCAGGAAGTTGGAGCCTAGCCCAGGTACGAAGGGCCCGGGGAGCCCGAGCAGCTGTGGGGAGTCGCAGACCCAGGGGCTGGGGGCTCCTCTTGGGTCCCCCACCCTGGGCAGATGGAGGGGCCCGGGCTCCCCAGCCCAGCCCCAGCTTGGCCAAGGGGCAGGGCCTCAGGGAGGGGAAGAGGTGGGACCGGGGCCTCATGCCCCTCCTCCCACCCACATTTTTAGGAGGAATCCGTCGCCCCTGCCAAGAAGCTCAGGCAGTTTGGAGAAGCAACCGAAGTGTTGGATTCTTTGTGCTGTGTACGGAGCCGTGCTAACCATGTCAGGGTTTTTTTAGGCTGCAGGAGACACCGGCCAGGTTCAATTCTTGATGTTGTGGTCAGGGCCGGCTTTAGGCCGATTCCCCCAATTCCGGCCCTGGGACTAAGAGGGCCCCACGCCCAGTGGCCTTTTTAATTTTTACTCACCCAGCGGCGCACCGGATCTTCGGCGGCAGTTCGGCGGCGGGTCCGTCACTCGCTCCAGGTCTTCGGTGGTGGGTCCTTCGGTGCCATCGAAGACCCGGACCGAGTGAGGGACCAGCCGCCGAAGTGCTGCCAAAGACTCGGAGCGCCGCCCAGTGAATACAAGCCCCACAAATCGGGCCCCACACTTGCTAAAGCCAGCCCTGGTTGTGGTACCCTGTAGCCTGGCGTTTCTGGATATCATGTTCTTCTGACTCAATGTAACGGATGGACGGGGTCACGTTGTTTCAATGGGACTCAAGGTTTCATTATCCACCTCCCACAGGATGGACCACAGGGTAAAAAAATACAGTAACATCTACCTCACTGGGGGGGATGGGGGTGGCGTGGATTGATGTTCATTCTGCGATTCTAAGAGAGAGCCACTATCTAAGTGCTAACAACAAACAATAAATAGCAATACCAGCTCTTATAAAGGGATTTTCATCAGTAGATCTCAAAGCACTTCACAATTTTACATCATGTGTCTCCAAACAGGTATTACTCACCACTATGTACTTCTCTCTAGTGAGAGATTCGGGGGTGGCCTGGAGCATCCTCCACAGGCTGTCTACTACACTGAATTCCCACGAGAGGAACTTTACTGTTGTATAAGCCACTTAGATCGGAATCATTTCGCCCCGCACTGAAATGTAGCCAGCGCTGGGATGGAATGAGGCAGCACCAATGCACTGAATCGCGGTGGGACACGAAGAATCTGGAAATTCTGGGAGGCAGAACGCAATTACCCAGCATGGAGTTTGCCCAGGGCAAATGGGTTAAAGCACCGAGAGTTCTTTGATAACTACAAGTGCCTTGGGTTTACATCTAATCTGAGGGACGGTCCCTCCGCCAACAGGGCTTCATGGCACTGTTTACACGCAGGGAAACGCTCAGCTATCGGTTCCCATCTGCAAGAAAGCCATCCGCACCCTGGAACGGATTGGTTTTCTCAGAGCCAGTATCAGCCATCGCCGATGGATCCCTCTTCCCATGTAACTCGGACATGCCCTGTCCACCGGGAGCCCAGCTACATCTGCCAACAGCCACATCTCCTATGAACCTCTGTGGCGGGCCTGGCACCGCCCCGCCCCTTTGTGGCAGGGGTGGGATGGGGTGTCAGAACCTCGCCACTCCCAAGTTCACGTGCCCACCTCTCTGTGGGTGGCCCGATCCCTCCATGAAATCACCCCTTGTTTGGGGTAGCGTGACCTAATGGCCAGAGTCCACATAAATTGCTCCCAGCATTGGAGCAGTGCGGCCCAATGGCCAGAGTCCATATAGCTCCCCCCTCGCAGGCGGGGTAGTGCGGCCTAGCGGCCAGAGTCCATGTAACTTGCCCCAAGTGTCAGGGCAGTACACAGGGATATGTGGCAGGTGTGTGGTGTATTTACAGATGCTGGTGCAGCGGTGCCCTCTACAGGGGACAATGCGCACAGCTAACTTTGGGCAAAAGAGCCTTGGAGGAGAAGACACAGGATTACTGGTTGGCTAAAACTTACTCTCTCTGGGGAGGGGGTTCTATTGTTTGAGGGAACAGACACCCGCTGGGGGGCTGCCTTCCAAGGCACACCTCAGCATGATAAGCCTCCAGGTGGTACAGACCATCAGTGCTTTACAATCCTTTTACACTTCCATTAGCTTTGCTCCTACTGTTAAGATTAAACGATTCTTTGGTTTAATCCCGGGTCTGGTCACTATTTGCTGTTGGTCACAGATGCCTTCAGGGAAGACGTGCAGGGGCTGAACCTGCTGGCTAAGTACAGTGAACCACAGGGACGCTGTGCCCCAGGGCCTGGTCTGAGTGGAGAACTGCAGGATTCCATCCCAGGAGAGGTAAAGACCCAAGGCCTGGCAGCGGGGAGGTGCATTTGGAGAGAGCAGAGAGGGGAGAGGGACAGCGAGCCCTGTAATTATGGCACCTGCATTCAGAAATCCTATTTACCCTGGATCTGGAGGGATTACCTCAATGGCCCTGAAGCCCTGGGCTGTTCTAGGGGTTTGTACTGCTACCCAGCCCCCTAGTATCTAGATGCCTTTCACCTCCCAGAGACTGATACTAGTTGAACTGGGATATCGATAAAGCCCTGGCTGGGATGATTTAGTTGGGGTTGGTCCGGCTTTGAGCAGGGGTTGGACTAGATACCTCCTGAGGTCTCTTCTATGATTCTATGATATGCGCCTCAGCCACCGGGCAGAAACGGCAGCACGCACTGCCAGGCGATCCTGCACTTCCTTGAATATCAGATGTTCAGCTCCTAGACCGCTGGGAGTTCTCTGGCCTGTGACAGCCAGGAGGGCAGAGCAGACGGTCCCAACGGCCCCTTCTGGCCTTGCTACGAGTAAGAACGGAGCTAGAGAGAACCTCACTCTGCACTGACTTTGCCATGTGTCCTTCACTGCAACCGTGGCGAGTCTAAATGAGCCTATCAGAGGGGAACAAGTAACATATGCGCATATTAATTTGAAGCGGAGAAGCTGACACTGCATTTCCTGAGGCTGCATCAGGCCCCTTTTGAGGTTTTGCTTTCTAGTTAAATGCCAGTTGCTCCCGCTCTCCCCCCTCAGCAGTCAGCCAAGCCCAGGGTGTGCAGCCACCCCGCAAAGCCCTGCTCAAGTTCCTGCCACCCACTGGGGCTGTGCTCCCCCACGTGTGTCGCTAGGACTTCTGGGGGCGCAGCCCATGTGTTTCTGTGCTGCAGCAAACTGAGCCGCTCTATGATTCTACCCCACTGAACTGTGGGAGAGCTCGCCTGGCCTGCTGGGCACACAGGGGGAATTGTGGGAAGGCCCTGGAGGGCTATCAGCACCGAGTGGTTTAGCCTGCGCCCTGGGCTACCAGCCCAAGTGAAGGCGGGACGTAGGTTCCACCCCACACCGCCAACGGGACCAGCTAGC